AAATATTTTACCTTTGTTGAACTTCTCTATTATGTTGATTTTCCATTTCCTTATTTTCTACTGTTATCCTTATTTTTCATTCTGTGTATTTGTGTGTTACCTTATTTTTTTTTTTCTAACTCCAATAGATATAAATTTCACTGTAAAAGCAGATTTACTTTCATCCTATTAGTTTATGTCACTGAACCTATGTCATAAACATATCCCGGAGAAAGTTTTGGAACCTAGATCATTTATCATTATAGATTTAACATTTACAGTCTAAATCTATACAGTTTAAGAGTAGTGACAGGTTAAATTATGAAAATAAAAGAGATTTGAAAGTGAACGCGTTAGAGATATATAAAAAGAGGTATATAAAGATAACTTGAAAAAATAGAAAGATTAATCTTAAGATGAAAGAAAACATAGAGTAAAAATGATCCCAAGATTCTGAAAAGTTGGATAAATATTTGGCAGTTTAATAAAATGTTAAGCAAACATCTCTATGTCCCAGCAATTCCATTCTATGTATTTGAGAGAAATAAATCGCATACCTATAAAATTTCTTGTACAAGAATGTTGACAGCAACTTTATTTACAATAGTCAAAACCTGGAAACAACTTAGATATCCATCAACAAGAGAATGGATAAATTGGGGTCTATTCATACAGTGGACTACTATTCAGCAGAATGGGAATGAATTAATATGTACAACATGTCGATCTCAAATATTTTATGCTGAATGAAAAGAGCCAAGCAGAAGAGTACAATCTGTATGATTCCACTTATAGGAAATGTTAAAATATGTGAAACTAAACTGAAGTAGCAGAAATCAGATCATAGATTTCAGAAATCAGATCAGATCATTGTTTCTGGTGGGTTTGGCTGGGAAAGGGCAGCAAGGATCTTTGTGGGGGTGATGGGAATGTTGTGTATCTTGATAAGCATTTTTCTAAATAGATTGAAGAGTTGACTTAAGATATAAAGATTTAACTATATGTAAATTATACCTTAAAATTGTTCAAAATATTAATTGTTGAATGTAGTTGGAACGTATACAAATGTCCATTGTACCACGCTTTCAAATTTTGTTTAAACTTCTCAGAATAAAAAGTTGGGAAATAAAATTTTAAAAATTCATTGTTCAGTTTCCTTGACATTAGGTTCAGTAAAGATTAAGATCAAACACTATTGGCAAAGTGTAAAGGAATGAGGAAGTGTGATTAAAAATAAATGTGTTTAGCAAAAGAAAGGTGGCTTGAAAAACATCTGGAGGCTTGAGCACTATTTTGTATATATAGAGAGAGGAAGTAATCAGGGGAAAGGAAAAGAGAGATGTTAAAATCAGTAAGGTCTGATGAGTTCAGAGATAGGAAGGAAAAGGATTAAGAAGACAAATACTTGGCTGGGCATGGTGGCTCATGCCTGTAATCCTAGCACTCTGGGAGGCCGCGGTAGGCAGACGGTTTGAGCTCAGAGTTCCAGACCAGACCCCACCTGTACCAAAAATAGAAAAAATTAGCCGGGCATGGTAGCACATGCCTGTAGTCCCAGCTACTTGGGAGGCTGAGGCAGAAGGATCCCTTGAGCCCAGGAGTTTGAGGTTGCTGTGAGCTAGGCTGATGCCAGGGCACTCTAGCCCGGGCAACAGAGTGAGACTCTGTCCCCCCACCCCCCCAAAAAGATAGGTGCTTGAAACTAAACTCAATATTCTCTGCACAGTCCAACAAGATTGAAACTCTTCAAAAGTTACTAGGATATATCACATTGTTCTTACTATTTCTTAATGGAATGCGACTTAATTTTTTTACGTGTTTACCAGCTGTTTAGATACAAAAAATTTATCATCTTTTAGTTTCTAAGTTTATAAAATATACTCCTATAACCTTATCTCATCCTGAGATAAGGTATAATTATTACTGTTTTACAGATTAGAAAAATTGAGACTTTGCTAAAGTTCCACAGCCAGAAAATGGAAAAGCCACTCCTGAGACTTTTGACTTCATGTAGTATAATATTAGGACACTTTAATCACAGTACTTATAATGAGTCTTCTAATTGGAGCTATTGTAAGAGGGTGGCCTGGCCAGGTAATTGCCTCGAGGCTCAATTTATAAAGAGTATTTTAACATTTGCAATGTTAAAATAATGAGGTAAAAATTGTTAATATTTAATAGAATTCTTTTGGGAGGAGAGTTCTGTATGTGGCTAGAAGAGGTACTTTGACATGTGGCCTATTATGGGTGTTGAGACTATTGTATCTCCTTCCCCACTTCCCCCCAAGGGTATGTTTAGCACATTATAAGGAAGTTGGATCCAAGTAAGTGCAGGGATTTTTTTGGTACGTAGCATATATGAACCTGGACCAGAGCTGTATTGCTCACACGGTGGAGAGAACAGTGGGGCAGTGTTCTTTTCACCCTTCGCCTCTCAGCCTTTCCTTTATATTGAATGACTATTAGGGAGTAGAGTTTAGAAAAGATACCAAATTAATAATCTTGTCTGAGGAAACCTACTAGCACCCTATTTCAGAATTATTCTGGTTGCAAATAATAGAAAACTCAACTCAAATTATCTAAAATCAGAGAGGAAAGTAATTGGCTCAAGAAAACTGATCCTTACAGAGGAAGGGTGAGCATCAAAGTTAATTCTGATATATTGCTTTTGTTCATGAAGAGGCTTGGTCCTCCTGTTGGCTCCTCATTGTAGCAAAATGACTACAGTGTTCCTCATCCTGGAAAGTCTCATCTTTAATCACTGAATGGCCCCAATGATTGGCCTACTTCAGGGCATGGGTGCACACATGATCTAATTGGCAAAACCTGTAAATGCCCAGCATTAACTGGATTTACATGCCAGCTCTAATCTAATCACTGTGGCCAGAGGGACATAGTGGTCCTTATTGGCTTAGGCCATCTGGGGCAGCTCCTAGAACTCTCTGCAGTGAAACCTATACAACCCAGCCAGTAGCTGCTATACACTGAGGAAGGGGAAGAATGGATGCCTGGGAAGTAGCAATGAACACTACAAACAAGTTTCAGTGCAGCTTTGTGTCTCTTAAAGTTTTGTGTTTACGTTGGTCTTTCTTAGAGGTGTACGCTCCTTAGTGGCAGGGCTGTATTGTATTCTATTCATCTTTCTATCTCCCCAAAGCTACTAGGACAGTGGCATTCACTTAATGTCTGTTAACGTTAACTTCTACTGAAGTGTAAATCAATTCTAAAGAGAACAAGAGCAAGAATGAGCTAAGATCACAAAGTTAATGGTGGACAGAATTAGAATCTACTCTAGATATTCATTCATGCCTTTATTCATTAAACAAATATTAGGCCAACTTTATTGGTCAGGCATCTATCGGAAAGTATAGCGTATTGAGTTTAACATGTTTTAAGGTAAAATTATTTGAGACAGGGACTTGCTCTGTCCCCCACGCTAGAGTACAGTGGCCTCATCATAGCTCATTGCAACCGAAAACTCCTAAACTCAAGTGATCCCCCTGCCTCAGCCTCCCCAATAGCTGGGACTACAGGAACGCCCCATCATACCCTGCTAATCTTTTCTATTTTTTTTTTTTTTTTCAGAGACCTGGTCTGGCCAGTGCTCATACTGGTCTCAAATTCCTGGCCTCAAGCAATCTTCCTGCCTGAGATTCCCAAAGTGCTAGGATTACAGGCATGAGCCACCTGGCCAGGCCAACAAAATTTTTAAACAATAAAATTTTTATTTATATAATAAGCGATCATACAAATACCTACACAATGACCAGGACGATATGTTATGAAGGAAAAGTTCAAGATCCTATAAGAAGTCCTAACAGAGGAATTTGAATTAAAATGGGAGATGTGGGCGAGGGAAGGTCTTAGGAAATGACACTTCAAGTGAGACCGGAAGGATGAACTGGAGTTAGAGAGGCAAAGGAGCAGAGTGGGAAATTATTCTTGACCCAAGGATCAACATTCAGAGGCCTTAAAGCTTGCGGGGATGGTGGTGGTTGAAGGGAAGGTCTGATGGAGGAACTAGAAGTGCAGTGTTGACGGAACGAGGAGCAGCTGGAAGAGGCAGTAGGTAGGAAGCCTTATAAATGATATCAAGGGCTTTAAAGCCCTTCGGTGGGTGGGTTCTACTTCTCTTCAAGGATATTCGAGCCACAGTCTCCGACAAGCGATTTTCCTGCCCAGCTTGACTCAGCATCTTTTCTCTTCCTTCATCAGCACGTTAGGGGTGCCATCAAGTTTCCTTCCATCTACTCTGCGCCGGCATTTCATTCTTTCCTAGCTATCAGATTTCCCTGACCCCTCGCCTTTTTATCAGGGCCTTCGGAGCGCTCTTATTTCATTTCGGCCCAGCCCCACCCCCAACCCTCTTCACTCTGCAGTCCATGACATTCAGGCGCCCTTCAAAGTCGGAAAGAATCAGCCAGGTTGGTACTTGGAGGACATTAGCAATTCAAAGAGGCTTCACCCATCCGGCACAATTAGATGGGAACAATGGCTTACCCAGCACCCACATTTAGATTGTTCCGACACAACTGCTCTGGGGGATGGTTTTATCTGAGGCTGCTTTCTCAATCTGCAGCCACTGTGTCAAGGGCGCCGTAAGAATCTTCTGGAATGCTCCTGTCACGCGTCCCGGCCACCTCTTCTTCGTCCCCGCCACTGCCCCAGGCCAGGCCCTCCAGCAGGCCCACCGGTAACCCTCAAGTCGCGGCAGTCCCCCGGGAGTCGGCAGGGGCCTCCGCGCGGTGAAGGGAAGGCACGACGCGGGGCCGCCCGGGGCAAGGCCGCAGCATTGGGCGCCGGAAGCGCGCGGGCAGCGGGCGGGCGCCGACGCCGGGCGGACGGAAGGCGGTGGAGCCGGTGGGCCGGGGGGCGCCGCGGGGGGGCCGCGGCGCTCCGGGCGGGCTCCCGCTCCGGTCACGTGACCGGCCCGGCGGCGGCAGCGGCAGCGGCGGCGGCCGCGGCGTCTTAAGCGGCGCCCAGTGCAGGATGGTGCTGGAGGCGGCGGCGGCCGTGGTGGCGGCGGCGTCGTTGGCGGCAGCGGGAGGGGGTGCGGTGGCGGCAGCGGCGGCGGCGCCCGCGGGTGGTATAAAATGGCGGATTTCGAAGAGTTGAGGGTAAGCGGGGCCGCGGGAGTGGACAGCCGAGGCCGCGGGGGAGGGGCGGAGAGGGAGAAGAGGCGGGGAAGCCGCAACGTCGCCGGCCGCCGCCTTCCCGTGGCGCGGGGGCCGGTTGGCGGAGCCCGCAGCCCTGAGGTCCGGCCGGCGGACGAGCGGGCCCCGAGCGCGCGGGGGAGGGGCGCGAGCCGGCGAGGACTGCCGGGCGGCGCGGGGGCGGCGGGCCTGTTGCCGCGGGAGCCGGCCGTGCGTGCTGCTGGCGGTCGGCACACCTGGCGCGGGGGCCGGGGCGCCCTCGGGAGGGGCGCGTGGGGACCTGGAGTCCCCGTTCATTCTGGGGGCCGAGGTGGGAAGCGGCATTTGATTTTCCACCTTCGCCAGGGGTGTACGTGTCAATGGCGATTCAGAAGTCTGCATGCTGCTCACTTGGTGGACGACTGTTTTCTGAAACGTGAAGTTGCGTTTGGCAATTTTTGTCTCTCCTCTTATGGCTGATGCTACCGTTTAGTCAGGTCTGTCACGAGAAAAGGCCCCTTCCTCTCACCAGTGCTTCCTAACGTCTTCCAGAGAAGCGTGGTCTTTGGGGAACCCTGTCTTCAATAATGGGCCTTAAACCTTGGTAATTTCTTAGTGCCATGGTAAGAAATCTGAAAGTCCGTGTTGTCGTGAGGTTTGTCTGTGTACTCCTTTTGCTCTTGAAAAAATTTTCTCTCCTTAGCCTTAGAACAAGGTCATAACTTTATTGTTGATACCTTTGTATAGTAGAGATTTGAAATGGGAGTGTAATGAGGGTAGAAAGGAAAAGATCCCACCCCACCCCCCAGACTGATAACCTTCAGAGTCCGTAACTGGAACAAAACTGTGATAAATGAGCCGGATTTATTTTGTGTGGGTCGCTGAATTACTGGCGACATTAATGAGCTATTTACGGACGGAAACCCTGGTTTTTTAAAAAAAATGTGTTTTAAAGTAGAGATGAGTGTGAACTTGAAATTACGTTTGCATAACGTAGTCTTATGATGTTAGGGTTACTTACTCAAATAAGAAGGAAGGGGGATACTGCAAAAGATTCAGTTTTCTGTGTTTATTGTTTTTTTCCAAGGAATAGGGGAAGGTTGTTGGCTGGTTACCTGTTTAGTGGACATCACGAAAAGAATGTATGTTCTTTTCTAAAGGGAGGTTGTTAGGGTTTGCACAGTGCCTGCCATTTTCCCTCCTGGTGTTTCAAAAAGAATTAGTTTTCAGTAGAGAGAGCAGTATGTTAATGCATGTTATGCCCCATACTAGTTTATTCAGACAACCATGATTGTAGGTAAAAGGGTATTCGTACTTGATAAGCTACTAAGGGTTTTAGTGGTTCAGAGCTCCAGCTGTAGAGCTTTTAACACCTGTGGAGCTTTTGAAACATCCAGGCCTGAGCCTCACCTCTGTATTTAAATTTATACTTTAGAATTAGGATGGGTTGGGAAGACTGAAGTTAAATTTATTTTAACCTGCAATATAGTTTTAATTTTTGTGTAGTAACGTTTCCTCTTCCAAGGTTTTTTTTTTGTTCATGAAAATTTTTGCAGGACTTATATTAGACTTTTGTAAATGTTGTTGTTCAAAGCTTAATTAATATACAGTGGAGAATTTACTTGCTCTTACAGGGCAGAAAAGGGCAGTCAGTAATCAAAGTGGAGGGCAACTAGGAACTGGAAAGTTGTGGAAACCAAAAAAGCTTTTTTTCCTCTCTTTCTCTGTCTTTCTGCCTTCCTCCCTCTCTGTCTCTTTCCATTTTGTTTTATGAATCATCTTCCTCATCTCTTGTAAATCAGCTATCTTTGCCTCTCCCTGCACTTGATAGAAGATGGCACCCTTTCCCACAATTCATATCAGGTACCCAAAAGAGATTAACTGGGGAGAGTTTTCAGAGGAGGAAAGGGTATGTGCTGGGCAGATGCTGGAAGAATTACCCCCTCATCTTTGCCTTAGCTATATTACCCTACATTTGAAGATGAATTGTACTCCCTGCTGCCCCCTTTGCGAAGAGTAATAGTGATGATGGCATATACCGATTATAATACAGTGCTTATTCCATTCCTGGTTCTGATCTTAACTGCTTTGTCTGTACATACTAATTTAATTCTCACAATTCTGTGAAGAAATTGAGATGCAGAGAGATTGACCTGACCTGAGTCACACAGCTTGAAACTGGAAAAGCTTCAATTTTTAACCTTAGACATCTAGCTTTAGAGTCGATCCTCTTCGGAGCCCAAGCTATACTGCTTTGTTTTGGTACCTTAGCATCTAGGTGGAGCATCTACCATCATCCTGCAATTTATGAACTAAATTATTAATAAATGATAAACAACACCCTTCTTACGTGACATATAATAGGCAAAGGAAAACAGGAAAGCTGACTAAAAATTAATTAGAAAGAAGGAAAAGAAATATCTTGGGCTCTCAAAATGATGGTCCCTAGTTCAGAATATATCCTGATGGTCAGAGTGATAGGGAAATAAATTTTAGGGCCAGGAAACATCATGGGTATTGGTTTGCAGGCCAACTTCTTGGCAGTAGAGGAAATGGTCAGCCAATCTGGATGCCACATATTTGGCTTGCTGATACTGCTGCTGAGGGGATTTCCATTTCCATTCTGAGCCACTCCTTACCAGAGCAGTTCACTTTTGACTGGTGCATCTGTACTGGAGGTCGGGAAGTTTGGGAAAAGTCATCCTCAGTGTGGTTTAGGACCCATGTGCCTTTGCTTTTAGGCTTAGGGGGATTATTTGATGAAGCAGCTCTTTTTTTTTTTTTTTTGAGACAGAGTCTTGCTCTGTCACCTAGGCTAGAATGGAGTGGCATCATCATAGCTCACTGCAACCTCAAACTCCTGGGCTCAAGCTGTCCTTCTGCTTCAGCCTCCCAAAGTGTTAGGATTACATATGTGAGCCCCGTGCCCAGCCAGCAACTCCTTTTTACGGGGTTGCCTGATAATTTCAGTTTTTGAGACTGCTCTGTGAGCTGGTACTAGAGAGCCTATCTGATCCTACAAGAATATGGCAGCCCTACACTTTGCTGCCTTTCAGTCCATGCGACTAGTAGAATGAATACCAGCTCACTTCTCTTTCAATTCTTCTGGGGGAGGGAGTCTTGATTAGCTGAGTTTAGGGCAGATTACACTTCTGTTCCGATAGTCTGTAGCCAGGGGGTTAGAGTCATATATAAACCTGATCAGGAGATGGTCCTGATAGGTTGAGGGAAAGGAATGGCAAGTTCTTTGAGAATGGAAAATGTGGCTTGTATTGTCAAACATAGTTATAATAATGTGTCATATATTAGAAGTTTTCAAGGTATAAGAGAAGGAATTACTCACTTCACTGGTTGCTTGTTTACTGCATCTGTGTTGTTAGGAGTTGAAGGGGTGATTAATTAGTTTGTGAATTAACTAGTTGTGAATTAATGTGGGACAGGATCATAAGATGTGATGGCCTGAATGCTCTGTCACTGCTGCCCTGCTTCCTCTCTCAAAATGTAGAAGAGCCAACCAAGACCATGGGAGGAGGAGAGGTGGAACAGTTAAATTTCTGGAGTCACTTACCTTTTCTTTAACCAATGCAGCTTTTTTACCCTTGTCTTTCCCCTCCGGTTGCATAATTCTAGTACTGTGGGCTACTGGTGGCAGTCACTCTTAAAAAGTTCCCTGCTACAATTTTTTTTTTTGAGACAGAGTCTCGCTCTGTTGCCAGGGCTAGAGTTACCATGGTATTAGCCTAGCTCACACTAACCTCAGACTCCTGTGGTCCTTCTGCCTTTGGGCTCAAGTGGTCCTTCTGCCTCAGCCTCCGGAGTAGCTGGGACTACAGGCGTGCGCCACCATGCCCGGCTAATTTTTTTTCTATATATATTAGTTGGCCAATTAATTTCTTTCTATTTATAGTAGAGATAGGGTCTCGCTGTTTCTCAGGCCGGTTTCAAACTCCTGACCTTTAGCTATCCTGCCTCGGCCTCCCAAAGTGCTAGGATTACAGGCGTACGTAATCTACTAACCTGGTTAATCCACTCTTCCTACTTCTCTCCACTCTCTAGGGAAGGGAGTGTCTTTTGTAGTGTCATTCTAACTTTTTTTTTTTTTTAAAGACTCTCTTTCCTGTATTCCTCATCCGTTTGTTTTCTTGCATTGAGAATTTATTTTACCTCAGAGAATGAGCGTGAATATGCATGTGAGAGTCTGGTTGTGTATTTAGACTGATGAAAGAGCCAGCATTTATAACTTTCTTAATAGATATGGGTAAACCAGAACACTTACCAAACTGGGTGAGTTTGCTGTTGTATTATAATTTGAGATCAGAGTTGGGTCTTTCATACTAAGAGGCTTAAGTAACAGAAGGTCTTCTGTCTCGAAGGCTTGTGTTTGGTTTCCTTACACTTACCAGGAGTTGCCTTCCTGGTAACTTCAGGTGCTGTTGGGATATGCAGAGGGAGAATTGGAAGTTAATGGGGGCAGGGAAATACATTAGTGGATATAATACACGTAATAGAATCCACCATGTGATTCAAAGCTATTTTGAGACACAACTAAAATTTCTAAGACTTCACCTGAGATAGTGTCTATGAAAGCACATTCAAAACTAGGTATCTAAAATAAAACATAATTTCTAATAGCAAACCAAGGTATCCTTAGCTATAGTATGCACTTCGCATTTGTTTGCTCCTTAGGTTTGCACCCTTCCTCTGGTAAATAGAAATATCTTTTCTGATAAAGCTGACTGTAGTTCTAACTCTAATGTTCTTTAAATGTTTCTCTTTTCTCAGTAGTTTTCCTTTTTCTGGATTGGATGTTAACTCTTTATTTTTAAAGTTTTTTTGGGAGCTATAATTCACTTGCCATAAAATTCAGCCTTTTAAAACGTTCAGTATGGTGGTTTTTAGTCTGTTCACAAAGTCGTACAACCATCACCACTAACGCCAGAACATTTTCATCATCCGAAAAGAAACTCCATATCCATTAGCAGTTA